CCGTGATGAACTGCAGGAGTGCTCGCTTCGATCCCTTGCTCACTAAGGAGATTGGGGCCCCCCACTTGACTGCAATGGTTTTCAACTGCTCCACTGTGTCGGATGCCAGCTCCTGCTTGATGAGATCAAGGTAGGTCGCTTGGTTGGACAGCGTGCGTTCGTGTAGCCATGCCTTGCAGACCTTGTCCGTGAGGCTGGTGGGAAGTGGTACCTGTTGACCTTTGGGATTTCCCTGACGTAGAAGTTCTGAGTTTAGTGTGATGTCCGGGGCAGTCTCCGGGGTCTTTCTCTTTGCCGGTCGTCGCTTGGGGGCTGGATCAGCCTCTGGGGATGGAACTGGTAGGGGAGGCCCCTGAGCATCTGAGTTGGCCGCATTGATGTAGAGGGACTGGTCAGAGCGGCCGGGTGTGGGGGTCCAGGACGCGGCATTGGAAGGGAACGAGGATGGCTGCTTCTTATCCGGTGTAAGAGTGATGCCCTTGTTCTTGTAGCGCTCCAGCTGTTGTTCCAATTCGGCAATTTTGTGGCGAGTGAGGTTCTCCTGCTTGGCGGGCTGCAGCGACTCCATGAGATCCACGATTTTGAGCGCAAGTGGCTCCATAAACTGCATAGCCTCGTTGCGCTTATCCGGCGCATTGTCCGCGTGGAGAGAGCGAGCTGTCCTGTCGATGTCGACCTCCCTGCCTCTCAATGCTTTGAGAATGGATGTCAATAAGACTGCCTCGGCTATCGTCTGAGCCATGACTGGTGTGCTGTATCGCCCGTTTGACAGCGCTCGTAATGCGTGATCTTCTGCTCCTCCTCGAAGAAGTCGTGTGAATGGAAGATCCAGGATAGCTGTTCCTGCGAGCCCGACCCTTCTGGACCACTGAGTGGGTTGAACGTGACGGTACAGCTGCAGGCCGCGGACTTCCGTCTTGTCGAGGAAGATGTCGTCAGATTGGAAGGTGCTGGGGAGTAGCTGCGAGTATCGAGGCTGAGTGTACTGCGTTGCATCACCTTGGCCTAGAGGTGCCCGAACTGGAGGTTGAACTGGCGGTGCTGGTGGTGGGGGAAGAGGACCTGTCTGCATGTGGTTTGTTCCACCACCGTGATAGTTGTAAAACTGACCGGGAGGTTGAGGAGGAAACTGGTGTGACGCGAGGCGCTGCTTCCTCTCGAGGTTGATGCTGCAAGGATTCCATCCGATTGGAGCTCAAATAGACCTCCTGCTGGGACTGCGGGACTGACCATGATGGAAGGTACGAGGATCCCGGATGCGAAGAGGAGGAGGGTGCCGATGTCGCCGGCCATGAATAGTTCCACTGAGAAGCCATCACGAGATGGGAGTTCGCCGTCAACACTTGCTAATAGATTAAAAGCTAGGGGTACGGCACAAATTGCCGAGACGGCACAAATTGTCAAAACGGCACCCGATTTACAATCGGACTCAGGGCTTTTTGAAACCGGGAAACAGCAGTAGTCACAACGAAACATCAAAAAGCGAAAGAACCCGCAGTAAGACCAACACGGAAGTCATGCTTGTTTGAGGCTCTGGCGTGCACTTTTTGTCGCAAAATATCGTCGGTGGTCGAAGACGGCAGTGTGGCGAAGGATGCTCTTTTTCGCAATGAAACATCATGAATTGTCATTGGTTACAGCAGCTCCTGGTGCAGGTTCACGAGCGGAGGACACCGGTGGGCGGCTTCGTATCGGTAGGCCATGCGAGTCCAACGATCTGGCTTGCCTCCGGGATCACCATCCAACACTTGCCCGACACATAGTGGATGACATCTGGACGTTCACTGGAATCCAGGGCCACAATGCAAGCTTGCTCTCCTCCCGATCGAATCGGCTGACAGGTACCGACAGCGCGTCCAAACAACAGCAATTGGGCCATGTTGAAAGACATACTCCAGTTCTGGCTCATCGTGCGAGCAATTTCTTCAGCATCATAGTCGGCGTGTCCAGTGATCTTCCAGCCTTGGGCGTAAAAGGCTGGGCACTCCGAGGAGTGCTGCCGGGAAGGATGGATCTGTCGGCTCCGCAGGATGCCTCTAGTGCCGCCGACGCTGGATGCGTGAGTCCAGAGCAGCATGGGTCGCGTCTTCGTTGGCTCTTTGAGCCGAACTGTAGCGCCAAGGTAGGGGACGGTCAGCATGAACCAGTGCGGAGTGATCTTATAAAAGTGATGTTCCGGATTGACCTTCGCATAGTTCAGAGTGGAGTGCTGAGGCGGTATGCCGGCTGCATTCAAGGTAGCGGCCACGTAGTCCATCTGCTCCTGATTGACTGGGATCCCCCCGCGGAGGTACGGTGCGGCAAGCACCTGAAGTTCGTTCCTCCACGGGTCAGACTCCGGGTTGGGAAGCAGGATCAGCGGTGGGTGCGCCTGCGGATTTGGGCGTAGTTGCATGCTCCTCGATGACGACCCCACATCTGGGTGAGCACCTGTGGCCTTTGAGGCTGGAGCCGATGGGGCACTGCTTCTGCTACGCGGAAGTGGAGATCGATTGCTTCTCGGTCGTCGGGATGAGGCTTTAGTTGCCGTAGGCGCCCGGGATGAGGACTTGGCTGCTGTGGGTGCCGACACGGCAAGATCCGGTGCTGCCGTGATGGAATTGTCCGATGTTGTGTCCCTTCGGGAGATCGGTGGTGGCGTCCTGGAGCGAGCTCGACCTCGCCGTTGTGGGGGCACTGACTTGGAGTAGGGGGAAGTGTTGTGGGAACGTGACCGCTCTCCCTCCGTTGTGTGGCGTGACCTGGCTGGTGGGTTGGGCGGTGGAAGCATCTGACCTGATGGAGTTGCCGTAGGGATCGGTGCGATAGGGGTCGGTGCTGTGGTCATAGGTGGGCATGCTGTAGTTGAAGCCGTTGGGGTAGTCGGCGTCATTGGAGTCATTGGAGTCATCGGTGTGGCCGGGCGTGCTTTCACCAGGATTTGCGGCAGAGGGCCAGCTACTGATGCAGGCCAGACATGCAGGGTAGGGATCGATGCCGAGGCGTCGCCGGGAGCAAGAGCTGGAACCGCATGTTTGGTAGCCCTTGAGGTGCTGGACACCGCGCAGGAGATGCTAGAAGTTGGTGTCACAAGCGAACTCCTGCTCGGTGATGCTGTCTGGTGCACTGGTGACCTGGGCGGCGTAGGACCCGCGGTGTTCCTGGATGCCTTGGTCATGGGGCCTGCTGAGTTCGACATCGGGCCTGCGTTGGGCCGTGGCATCTGCTGCCAGCAATTGCGAGCCAATAACCAACTGGCGGTGTCATGGAGTCATGCCTGATATGTCGGGTAGTCTGGCGACCCGTCAAGTGGAGAAGTCAAACGTGAGGTAATCTGGGGTGCTGAAACGTCCGGGACATGTCCAAGCCCGTGGTGAATGGTCAACGGCGAAAAGTCAACAGGGGGAATTCCAGAGTCATGAGCGACAAGGTCCGGTGGCTGTCTGAAGAAGGTGTCGGTACATGGGTCAAAACAGATGCCCGCAAAGGGGATCAAGACACTGACCGAAGCCCGGACGCAGTGCCTAAACACACTTGATATGAGACGGCAACAATGCAAGAGTGCATCCCCAAGTATCTGAAAAGTGGAGTTTCGTCAGCTAGCCTTCCCGATCTGTTCGCTCGCCGCGGCTACTCGTCAGTGCCCATGACTACCGCGACGAGGTACTAAGAAAGGGGCCGGTTTGCTGGCATGGGCATACTCCAATAAAGAGAGAGAGGCACGACCGCAAAACCCCTTAGGAACAGGGGGGCCACACACACACACAAACAGACACACACACACACAAACAGACACACACACACACACACACTCACACTCACACTCACACTCACACTCACACTCACACACACAAGCGCAAGCGCACGCGCACGAGCGCGCGCACGCGCACGCGCGCACACGCACGCGCGCACACGCACCCGCACACGCGCACGCGCGCACAGACAGACACACACACACACACACACAAACACACACACACACACACAAACACA